ATAGTTTTTAATAGTTTATAAAGGATAATGTATGAAGTTAACAAGAAAAAAGAAAAAACTTTAAGATTAAAAGCAACGAAGCTAAAATATCCTTTACAAATATAAAATATACCCCACAAGAACTTGATTTGAATTTTTCGTTTATATGGCAGCTTTATGTATGGTTAGGTTCAGCTAATCTGGTAGCAATGAGCCACGCATAGACCAGGTTTGGCTCTTCGCAATTAGGTCCTTGAGGACGAGTTAACCTTTAGGATGTCTACGCTTATAGAGAATTTCAACAGACTCTGTAGCCTCCATATCGATACCTCTTCCAGTGTCTTCATACTGTGAGGACCCCAGATACTTACAACGTAGTCTTGCCAATGCGGTACAAGTGCACAAGCTTCTATCGAGTGACAATAGGAATTTCGTTGACTTCCAATCTACCGTTTTGCACATAACTTTTGCAGTTATGTACGACATCTGCGGTTTATGCAATTAAGCAGCTTGTTGGGGAGAAAAAACGTGTGCAAAAATTTTAGATCGCTCTCTCAAAAACTGACTGACAGGCGGACATGGCTCGATTCAGCTCGTCACGTTTTGTTATATTCTAACTTGATGACTTGCAGTTTTGTCATTGGGTTTTAAATCCGATAGGATAATAACAAGATCGTTTTCAGCGATTTGATAGAAGAATTAACATAAATTATTACTTATTTAGCAACTTAGAAAGTTTAATCATTACTTACTCCCACCTGAAGGCGGCCCGTTTTGTCTCTTTTATTGCGAGATTATTACATGCCCACATAAAAACAACATTGCATATGCATTGAAAAAATATAAATAAATACACATACACGCACATGTGTATATATAGTGTCCATAGATGATCCATATATAACAATAAAATTTATATAATTTTCAGCAATAACAGCAATACGTATACGCATTTTAACATAAATTTTCCATATTACAATATTATATTCTTTATAGTTCTCAAATTCAACAATTTTTAGTTCATCAACTACACATACATACATTACAACAATCTACCAATATAACTGCTAAATGCATAAACACATTTTTGTTTTAAATAATTTTTTCGCTGCATATTCTAAAAGCTTCTTTTTTATATTTTACTATATTTTACATACATATATAAATGTATTAGTATATTGTATACTGCATGCATAATTGTATGCTGATATGTATTGGTTCACTTCAAGTCTATAACAATTTGGATATGTATATATATGCCTATGTTCTTTTGTACATACGCTAGTAGTCGGCATGTCACATACACAAATTTCTAAAGCTACGAAGTAACTTACACTTAATGTAGGGAATATTTGATATTTGTCTGTGGTACATCATATTACATACATACATATATGTAGCATAAGATTTTAACCTCCTACTGTCAGATATAGCTAATATACATTTTCCTGCAGGGTATATATGCGTTAAACGATAATAGCACAGCAAATCTTTGGTGTAGTGTGCTTTTAGGCTCTCAACTAGCAAGCGTTCGGCTTGGATGGCCATAAAATACCCCACTGTACCATACGACAAAATTTGAGAAACTCAATACTATTCTACAAGTATTGGAAACTGATTATGTATTTAGAGAGGAAAGGTGCCAATTTAATTATAAAAGAAGTTCCAAGCATTTGAATAAAAATTTTCAATGTTTAAGCTGTTTTCTTAACTTAATAAGAAATATTCACATAATATACTTAATTTGTTCTTTTTAGTAAAGGATGAAGCAATTACTATGTGAGCGGAACATTCTTTTGTCTTTTGTAAGGATTCTATGCTTGTGTAAGCGTATTAAACTTAACTGGAATACCAGCCGAAATTGCTAAAACTAAAGCTTCTCAGCCCGTATATGGTTTAAAACACATATACCATTGAGGTGCTGTAAGTACTCTCTTAGCCTTTGTCTTCATCTGCAAATATTAAAATAATACTGATGCTTTTTGTTTCGATTCTTCTAATTTCATTTATAGACTACATATAATATTATATAACACATAAGTAAATATGCACACTTGTGCTAACAAGCATCAACCAATTTGTGCCAAATATATAGTTTAAAAACATCTGCTTTGTTAGGTATGTACATATATGTACAAATATATGCATATATGCATACATTTATATATTTTTTTACTTGTACGATTAATTGACTCTAGGTTAGTAGTATATGCTTTCTACTTTTGTTGCCAGATAACGCAATCATTTCCTTTAATATACATGTGTACAAACTGCTTCGTATAATAATTTTTTTACTTTTGGTAGAACGTATAGAATAAATACTCAAGTGCATATATGCTAGAAAATGTGTTGTCTGATGTAAACTTAGATTACAATGATGACTCAGACGCATTATTTTTCCGTTTGCAACAAAGTGACATGTTAAAAGAAAGCAGCTATTCAGAAATATTCAAAGGTATTGATCCAAATTGCAATCATATTCGTACTCGTGCTGCTTTTGCTTAAATTTTTTCAAATTCTTTCTTTGGAGCATTTGGTAAATATTCTCTGAGAACATCGATTCATTATAGAGAGCACGTATTTGTTTACAGATGCACACAATGTGGCAAAAAAAAAAATACTCGGAAATTATAATGAAATTCCCCGGTAAACGAAATTTTAAAATTGTGTATTTTGAAAAGTTGGTAGGACTGTTCTTAAAAATGTGCCAATATAAGCGCGATCTCTCAACTAGTTTGTTTATAGCAGTCGGTATAGTTGGTGCGATTTTATGTCTCAAATTTGGAGTTCTAACCAAAATCGTTACGTATATTGGGAAAGGCTTATGATGATTCAGTTTTATCAAAAACACAATCCTGCGAGTGATATAAAGTCTTCAAAGACAGTCACAGAGAGATCGTTGAAGACACGGTTCATTCTGGACGACCTTCGACCTCTTCAGCTGATGAAAATATTAAAGAAAGGTGAAGGATATTTTGCTTGAAAATCTTTAGGCACGTGATAGATAGAAAGCTACAGAGCTCGACATCTCTCGCGAGTCCGTTCGAATGATTTTGGTGAATATTTTGGGTATCACACGCGTTCTTGCTCGACTCGTCTCGATAATGCTCAATTCTCTTTAAAAAGAGTCTCTTTGGACATGCTTGATCGGTCGAATTCCGATCCCACAATCATGAACAGCATTATAACAGCCGATGAGATATGAGTTTATGAGTTTGACATGCAAAGAAGTCCACAATCATCGCAATGGAAGGGAACAAATGAGCGGAACGGAAGAAAAGAAAAAAAAAAAAACTACGCCAAATCCGCTCGAAAATCAAAGTAAGACTCATTGTTTTTCCGATATTCGTGGTTTGTTGCATCATGAATTTATTCCGGAGGGACAGATGAACAATAAGAAGTTTCATTTGGGTGTAATGAAACGTTAGCGTGAGAATATCTATCGAAAACGGCTGGATTTTGCACGATGATAATGCACCATCGCATCGAGCCACTATTGTGACCGAGTTGAAAGCCAAAAACAGAATTAATACCATCGATCAAGCAACGTATTCACCAGATTTGGCTCCGTTTAATTTTTTTGTTCCCCTAACTGAAATTTCCATTTCGTGGAACCCGTTTTTTTGCCGAAGGCCATCCCAAAATGTGCTAATGAAAAGGGTTTCGAAGATTGAAAAAATTCATTGGCATAAGTGTATTACATCGGCTAAAATTGATGAATAACTAAGTATTGTGCGTTTTTATTTACAATTTCCGGGTACTTTTTATCACAATATATACCATATATGTTACATATAGTATGTAAATAGAAACAGCTCTTCAATAAGCAAAGAACCCGTTATCCCAGTGGCTCGCTAATTAATTGAGCACCCCTGTCGAAGTATTCGTCGAGCACAACTCTTTCTTTACTTTAGTCTGGAGCTTTACGTTTTCGTAACATATTTTTATTAATATCTTTAAAGTATAAAGCTGTTAATACGAGTATTATTATACTGTGATGAATTTGGAAATCCGAAACATCGCATTTTCAGCGTCTACTTTTGTAAATTAGTTCACTGTCCAGTATCTAAATTCATGAATACGGGATTCGCTTATCTGTGAATTGTAGTAATAAAGATGTACATCACATTATCTAAACTTTTCGTATATTACTGTCAGAGATAAAGAGTTGCTCAACTCTCCTGACTGGATCGGGAAGGTTTTGAAATTTGGCAATTGGATCAACTGAATAAAAATATATGTGAACAGAGGCATTTGTATATAATAATTTTCAATACAAATTCTTTCTTTGGAGCATTAGATAATAAGTTTTAAACATTTTAATTAAAATGCCCAAAAGATTATTATTCTCTCCAATTTGACTAAAATGAAAAATGTTATAAAAACGCTAATTTGGAGACGCTCTCGTACTGTAATAAATTGGACATTCCTTTATCCCTGGCTACTGTGATGGCGATGAGTGGTGTTGAAATGTAGTTCCCTACTTTCGAGAATAACGGCACAACTACATGTGGTGTATTTACTTGTTTATATTCATATGTATGTATATATTTAATATATTTTGGTAGAACCGATGTCTTAACGCTCTGATTATTATTTAGTCGTTGAGTTTAATGATAAATGAGTTATGTAACATGCCACTGAGTTGCTGAAAACCATTTCTTTCTAAACTCTGCTATAATACACTTATATAAATGTCGATCTATTCTTTCTTTCTTTCATTTAATGGTGGTCTCCCTTTTAATTTGCAAATGTCTTTAAAGGCAATCAATTGCTACTAATTTTTCTTCAACGAAAACAGTTATTACTTGTGCATACACATACACATATAATTGAGATTTGCATATTCTCACTCTGCCCTACGATAGATACAGTATATATAATCTTTATATTTTTCAACTAACAATAAGATTTTCAACAGTTTCATAAATTTCTCTAGTACATAAATACATATAGATGTATATTATATGTATATGTTTTGTGTATATATAGTATATATATAACACATTGTATTTAGGTATAATCTGTGTACATTTAACTAATTTCAACGCAGTTCATTACAATGTTAAGGTACGCTTGCTGATATGTATAAGTATATTTGTTACTTTGTTGCTTGCTATTTGCTACTGCTTAACGGTTGTTCTTGTATATTAGCTCGTTACCAACAAATCACCTGGAAACTGTTGTTGGCACGACTCTTTATCGTTTATGCCTCATTTCGTTTGGTCCGTTTCATCTTTCATGAGATCCTTCATCATGTCCAGCGACTCCTTCAGCGATTTGGCGAAGCGCGTGGTGCTTGTATCCTCACAGGAATAAAATGCCGATATACAAAATGTAATATCATCGGCATGTGGATTGTAGGAGCAGCCATAGCCACGTGGCGTTACAGCGCCATAACCCATGAAAGCATCCGATTTGGTAGCCACCTATTAATTATTTGGAAGTGTGGTGAATTTGAATTTATGGCAAACGCTCCGTTACATATGATAGGCATATGTATTATGTTTTTATTTTATATATTATATATATACTATTATTTTATATTATATATACATATATTTATATGCAGTTATAAATACATAGAAAGGCATGTGCAAATTTTGTATGTAGTGACAAAAGACTTACACTGTCTTCTAACTATTTCTATATTGCAATTACATAATAGCAAAGTAGAGGCGTGTGGCTTCCATGTTGTCAAGTGCGCTGTGCTCTAGCATAATTTTAATGGTGCAAAGTGAACAAATAAAACAGTGCAGTGCTGCTCGGTGCGGTGCAAGCGACATATACGTATATACACACATGTGTAGTTTTTTAAGATTCGTGTGTCCTTGAGTGTGAAACTGAAATACCAAAGTACAGGTGTACTCAAGAAAATGTGCGGATTTATAAGATGAGATCAGGGCTTATATAAGCTGTGCTTTAAATACTGATAAAATTGTTAAAGCATAAAATACATATCGTCACATAAAATGCAAAATAACCTAACATCACTTTTCATAACGAACGAAGGCGAAGGAAAAAACGTTATAATAGAAACCATTTACATTGAAACAAAATTTGAGTTTTGGTTTTTAAATGGTTCTGACATATACATTGTATGCAACATGATGTAGTGAATCGTAAGCAATAAAAAATTCAATTTAGATTAGGTTGTTTTGCAATTTATGTGACGATATGAAAAATTGAGTTTTTGTGAAGGCATACTATCTTACAATATCATAAAGTAATTACTTTACGTATTACAGCTTTTTTTTAACAAATATTGTTTAAAAATGTTATTGGCGGATTATTTATTTGAAATAAAAAAATTGATAAACCCGGACTTTGTTTATTTGTGTACTTAAAAATTATACCTAGTGTCAAATATGTAATAAAAAATATATGTTTTTGGTTTTTGCATATTCCGATAGAAATATAGAATAGGCCTTTCAAAATACCACAATAAAACTTTAAATGAATTTTTGAAATATTTTTGAGTTGCAGCCTAAAGTGTAACTCCTCAGTTCAATCAGTGCAACCAGTTCTATCAATTTATTTTTAAAAGCATTTTTCTCGAAACAGCATTTTTGGATTTTGTGGCTGGGATGGTCAACATTTAGGATAAAAACAAACTTTTTTAAAACGCCGCAGAATGGAGCCATGTGTAGATGTTCACAAAAGTGAGGAAAGTTCTCTGAGCGCCATACGAATGGCCAGAAACTGTTCTTTTACATATGAATCATTCAGCTCACGATTCCTGGTGTTAGACCAAGTATCCCCTGGGTAGCTAAAAATCATCCATTTGAAGGTGAGCAAAAGTGAGAAGGTGAATCAACCCTTCAGGGTTGTGTTTTGGGTTTGAGACTCACCACTTAAAACCTCACCCAATAAAAAGACGAAAACAGCCTCGGATGAAAGACCACCTTTTGATAACAACCACTGTAAACGAAAGTATTACGATTTAAGGGCATGCACCTGGAATGTCCTGTCCCTTTATGGGGAAGGTGCCATTGCTCAGATGGTATATGTCCTCGTTAAAGTAAGGGCTGACATCACCGCTATCCAAGAAATGCGATGGACGGGACAAGGACTAAGGTGAGTAGGTCCTTGTGGCATTTATTCCAATGTCCATTATAAAGGAGCGTAAATTCGTTGTGGGATTCCGAGTACTGTCATTCACCCCGGTGGATGAACGCCTAGCAACAAACCGCATCAAAGCGAAATTCTTCAACATTCTTCTTCAAAGACGGTATCTTTGGCACACCGGTCGGTATATTCAGCCTTCAGGATGAAATATCCCCAAATGGGTTGAGGCTGATCGACTACGCCGTTATCTGTAGTACTAGATTCTAGCATAAAAAATTTATCAAGCTACCTGGCAGTCTCCGGATCGAAAAGCCGACGGAAGACACGTCTCCTGTGTTTTAGACGTGTGTATGTTCCTAGGATCTAGCATTGACTCGGCTACGCAAGATACGTTCCCGCCTCTGTGCAGCAAAAACCGCACGTCAACAAACACAAGGAAATTTGACGTCGAGAAGCTGCAATCACAACAGAGAGCCGAACGAGTTTACTAGTCGGCTTGAACTTTTGCTTCCTGAGAATAGTCATCAACCACTCGGTATAAGGGAACTGTGGGACGGCATTTCAAGCTCCTTGCGTACAGCTGCAAACGAAACCTTTGATTTTCGGTAAATGAAAAAGAACAGCTAGTACGACGAGGAGTGCCGAGTTGCAGTGGAAAGAGAGCAGAATGCTTACCTCGCAACGTTACGATCGACCACAACACGTGCGGGAAAGGTTAATTACCGAGAGCTGAAGACGGTACCGAGATGCACATGCGTCGACAAAACAAAAAAAAAAAGAGAGAAGGTTTCAAAGCCGGAGCATTCTCTTGTAGAACGCTCAGAGCTGATCTCCAATACCCAGAGCATACTGAAATTATGGAAGGAACACTTCTCCAGTCTGCTAAATGGCTGTGAAAGTATAACAACAGGAGATGGTGAACCCATTTCGCCAATCGATGACGATGGATGATTGCGATGGATGGATGATTGCGCGACCGTGAAGATATTTGAATAGCAATTAAACGTCTGAGGAAAAAGAAAGTGGCGGGGCCGATGGACTGTCGACCGAGCTATTTTAAATTTAAGAAATATATTAAATTCTAGGTGTGCGATTAGATTCGATATTTGGGGTAATAATTGTTATTTATTTCCCCTTAAAATAAATGTAACTGCGATCGAGTATGCGGACGTTGATATGGTGGATTAATGTTAGTCATATCGCTCGTAACGCCACTCGAAGGTTTTGCCGACCTCTAAGTAATCTCTACCAGACATAAAGCACGCTATTTTCATATCCAGAGAATACCTGCTGATGAAGAGATTACCTTAGTTTACTATTCGAACCCAGAAAAGAGAATTTAATAGTAATCAAGTGAAATTGGTGATATTTTTTATTTTTTGTAAAGGACGTAAATATAGACTTTTGAATATTTTTTATGAAAGTTTGTGTAATAAACTAATTGTAGAAGTATGTATAGCGTTCAACATAAAATAGTTTTATCAATCTTTTGGTGAGTGATTAAATAAGTGCAAGGCTTGTGGGAAAAGAAGTGATCACAGTTATGCCATAATGACATTAAAAGTAGACATACCTGACTTGTGCTCAACAAGAAAATATTGGCAGTTTGAAACGTTTCATGATTGAAAAGTTCGTGCACTTGGCCGTTATTGAATTCCTTACTGGCCTCACGTAAGCCTAACAATGGTATATCAATGCCATGCCCTAGTATATTTTGAACCATAATTTCCGTTTGACGATTGCAGGCAATGCGGAAAAGTTCCTTGAGCTTGTCTTTCTATTTAAGAAGATAATTTAAGTGAATATATTGATTAAGTTTTTCTTATGGAGACTTCAGTGATTACACTTACATTATAAATGCTGAATTTGACTTTACGCGCATCGTCGTCCTCGCCCTCGCTCTCCAAGGGCACATTTGCGCCTTCGCCCTGGCACATGGCTGTGGCCCATTCCAGTGCCTCTTTGTGGGAAGCTCGTATGCAATCGACTCGACCCTTAAGCAAAGCAATTGTGATATATAATGTACACAATATATATATATGTATATAGACATATGTATGTGTTTGCATACCAACAAGAATCGCCTAGTGGAAGCACTCTCGTAAGTGGCTACAAAATGGCCATACAATCTATTTTAAATGAAAAAAAAAAACATAATTTTAGTAGAAATATTTATATCTGTGTGTCTGTGTGGTTGTAGTAAAATTAGTTGCTTTTGCTCTTACTTGAAATAGGATAACTGTAGCATGAGCTGCAAGAAGGCATCCGGACTGCACTTGCATTGCTTGATAAAGTTTTTGCCATAACCTTTGTAACGGTACACATACAAATCGAAATCTCCAATTGCCCTGTAATTGTAATTATTTCATGTGTATTTGCACTATATATTTACCGCTATTTCCCACTCTCTACAACTCACTTGTCCACTGCAACAGCGGCCTGCTTAATACGTTCATCCATTTGTGGTGTTATGACCCACGGTATGCGTTCGGGTGTCGGATCCGATGGTACACTATTGCATGCCGATTGTTTTTCTTCCAAATTTTTATAGATTTTCTCTATGACATTCACAATGGCATCGCCCTCGGAAAAGGAATGCTCGTAGTTAATACCCCAAGTACCATCGGTGCAGATGATTATTTGCAGGACTTTGTCGAACCAACGATTAGCCGAATTGTAATTGCTACCGCCGCCATGTATCATTTCGTGCAACATATTCGTATCATCACGATCACCTACTAAATAGCCTGTGGGCGTGGCGCCGGTGAACGTATACGCATTGAATGTATTCGGTAATGGTTCGTCGATACATAGTATACACAGAGCTTTCTCAATCAACAAAATACTATTTTGATTGACTTCATTCTCCAGTAGTAGGTTACGATTTGTGGCCCAACGTGTGCGCTCCTCGGCAGTGAGTAAGCCCACCATTGGTGGTTTAGTTGGCAAACAGGGTGCATCGCTGAGCACATACAAGATATTTGAAGCGATTTCAGTCTCCGATATTCGGCCGCGACTACTGGTTTTCAAGTTAACACAATACATCTGGTTGCGACACACGACAATCACATGTTCGTCGCTTTTCTCGCCGCGCTCAGCTAAGTACTGTGTGTCCCGTTCCAAACCAGGTCGGCGGCATGAACCCAGCGGTCGGTAGTATTGTGCCATGCATAGTGGTTGATTCTTCTCTCGAGAACCCGCACGATCGATGGGTAAATTGCCGCTAAGCGTGAATGTTTACAATATTTTAATGTTTAATTATATATATGTATATATATTTATATATATCGTTATATACCTGTCCAGTAGTTCCTTATGCTTCATAATACCGCTTAATAGCAGTGCTGCAAAGCGTGCCACGTCGTGCACCGTTGTAAAACGGACGGGTGGCATTGGCATGCCGGGATTTGAGTTGATTGGCAAAGGCAAACGAACATCCATGTACATGTCATTTAGCCAATAATTATAAGCCTGCAAATGAAAGAGCAATTTTGGCACCAAAGATGTTTTAGGAATATATTATGCCAGTAAAGTGTATAGAAGTGGCTTTGTTCTCCATTAAGTTTAATGTACATTTCAACTAATGGTACAGATAGAGTTATCTTCTAAATAAAAACCTTTTTCCCTCAACTACCGGATTATGGAATCAAAAAGAAATAAATTGAATCCCAAGCATAACGAGGGCATCAAGTAAAAACACTTTATCAATAGCCTTGTTTTAAGAGATCTGTCGTGAGTCGGTCCAAGCTGTCATGTAATTTTTGTTCAGTACTTTTTGGCATTTAGTCATGGAATCTCTTGAACCACGTTTAGAAATCGTTCAACTCTATAGCGAAGTTCACGTTCTGTAAAGAATGTATTTCGCGCGCTTCGCTTAACCTATGGCCAACATAATCGTCCTACAGAGCGTACTATTCGTAACATCATCACCTATCTTGCGACCCAGTATTCATTATTGGATAATATTCAACCGAATGGACCACGTTTAGCACGTAGTGAAGAAAATAGAGCAGCTGAAGCTGAAAGTGTACCCGAAGCCCATGGAGAGCGGTTTCAGCGTCGTTCGTAGCAACTCGGACTGATGTATGGAACGATTTGAAATCATAAACAATACAGCTTGCGCAAACATTGAAGCCATTCGATCTTACCAATCGATCAGTGAACAGCTAAGATCGTGTTTTTTTTTTCTGTGGAGATATGCAAAGTTTAAAGTCTATGCGGGCAATACCGCTTTGATTCAGGCCTTTGAGCAAAACATCAGGCGTGTCATTCGCCAGTTACAAGTCGAAATGCTCGAACGCATCATCGAAAACTGAAATGTAGCCGCAGCCAATATATGAAGGACGTAATCTTCAAAAAGTAAGATCCAAAGGATGTTCTTTCAAATGATAATAAACATTCCAAATTAAATATGAACTTACTGAGTTTTTCTTCTAAAATGTAGGGAACCTCGAAATGGATCAATCTTTATATTCCATATTCAACAAGAAATTTATATACTACTAATTGATTTTAATATGCACCGGAGTCTGATGTTGAAGATACATAGATAAATATAATCTTTAGGCTTAGAAAATATTTTTGGAAATAACTTCCTTGATACGAGAAACACATTTCATTGGTGGTAGTACGAATAGGCTTTGAACTGTGATAATTCAGCAATAAGCAAAAATTTGTATTTGAAAATGTCATTAGAAATATATGTAATTGGCGTAATTTAAATTGATAACCGATAATTTTACGAATCTTTCACATAATGCTTGTTCAAAATTCTCAGAAACGTTTCACAATGTCATTGATCTTCGTAATGACTGTCATTGCTTCTATTCGATACCGCAATTGATTGATGTTACGATAAAAAATATCTTGTATAGATAGTTTTTTCTACCAGAGAGGCACTCTTAAAATATAATATACACATACATACTGGCATAGCCTACATTTTCTAAAGAGCTTAAATAATGCCTTAAATTTATTTGGACATTTTCCAATTTTCAATTTATTTACTAATATTTGAATCAGATAGTTTCAGTTTAATTAAGTGTACAGGTCATAACTAATTAAATATGTGAGTTTATTAATATTGGTCGGAAATAAAGTAGAGCAAACTTTGCTCATGAATCAATTCTTTTCTGGTCAAATAAATTAAATGTAAATTCTAAAAAACTAGTCACTTTTTTATCATTGAAAAGTCACTGGCTTGGCCGAAAAATCCCAGTTCCAACAAAAATTCTCTTTTCTTTCCTTAGAGGTCTAACCTTAACAAGAATACTATCAGAGCTTCAAAGTGATGTTATCTTCGATGTTTTTGTTGACACTGAATTTCACATTGTTTCCTGGTGGGGAAAAACACCGTTGATATAAAAAATTGGTTGAATTTTGTCATAATTTTAAATTAATTATTTGCACCCCTATTACGCAACTATAATTTCGCCGTACAACTTCCGTTTGCGAATTTAAGGGTTTCAATACCAACTGTAAGGGTTTTTTCTATTTTATTTCCTTAATGTACATACTACATATGTATATATGTATTTAAGAATACATGTAGAAAACTTTACATTGTTCCGGTTAATATTTTCGAAGTTACACACAAATTTGAAAAGGCGTTTCAGAGTGCTTGGCAGTAACAGAGTTTTGAATAGGGGCGTTGCAAAAGAATACCGGTTGGGACAGAAAACGATGTCTTATTTTACCCCGGTCTTTTGAACTATCCATACGAACTTCATGAGTTACCATTGCATCCCGAAAAAATTACGGATTGGTGCTGTTTATGCGCCGTCTTCGTCACTAATAACCAAATTAAATGATATGAATTTGGATAATATTATATGATGCTCCAATAGGACTGCGTTTTAAGCCACATAGCGAATGTCATAACCGATTTATTGAACACCAAGTTTGATGAACTTGTTATCTCACGAAATTGCGCAGTCAATTGACCGCCTCTGCCGTACAGTTTCCTGTGGGGTTATGTCAAGTCTATGTTCCATACATACTCGAATTTCATTGATATCCCAAACTGTTTTTGTTTTCTGTTTCAAAAAACATTTGTAGAGCTCTTATTGAAAAACCCGTTTTAAAGGTTTTCGAACTACCAGATGGCATTCTACTGCATATTTCGGCCAATATTTGAGTTATCTCAAAGAATATTGCAGAACATGTTTTACTAATAACAGGATATTTTTCTGCTTGAAAAAAATAAAATTGGGCGAAAATTTGACTATATGGGTTAAGCCAATATCAGGATTTTCGAACATCCGTCTGACTTTGCTCCATATGATTAGTGATTGTATGTAAGGTACTTAATGAAAGCCTATGTTATAGTTAATTGATAAAATCGAGTCGATTTATCGAAACTCCCAAATAATTATTTACTTGTTTGATTTATATTAAATAGAAAAAAAATAATGAGAAAGTGAAGTTTATTGAAATAATATCAGTGGCCGAAGACAGAGTTTGTTTTAACCCATTTTTAATGTACCGAGTCTTCAGTCGCTGCCCATGCCACATTGCACACATGCTCAGCCCGGTGATAGCAAATTTAAATTAATGACAATAAAATCGTACACTCCTCAATGAAATTGCTTTTATCAGATAAATTGTTTTAGCACTTTAAATTAAACATTTGTTTGAGTTGTAATTTTTCATATAATTTGGGTGTGACCTTTTCGGTATCACACTGAAAGTGTTTGCAACGTTAGCGTACCCTTTTTGGTAATCGAATATATTTTTACGAGAGTTGTAACTGAGTAATGAAATTCTGGAATGTGTAGTAGAATATGTTAAAAAAAAATGAATGATATCGGAGAGATAAGATTGACAAATTTTCTGATACAATTAAAATCAATCAGATCACTATCTATAGAGCAATATTTTCGGTCAGGAAATAATAGCTACGAGAGGAAAAAATAAACAAAAAATGTCACTATAAATAATGAGATCACTTGTAAATATCAAACAGTTCAACCATTTGATTTGGATTCGTTAGGAACGAAACAGCAGGACCAAAGTAAACGCAGCACACAGAGCCAGAAATGAGAGGTAGGCTGTCTAACGAATTTCAATATAGAAAAAAACCAAAAATAAGAATAAATAAGAAAAGTGATTCAAAACTATACTTATAAAAAAATGCGTAATAAAAGTAACAGTTTAAAATAATAAATACCTTTTCCACTTAACCAGGATACGCGCTGATCGTTACGAACCTTTGCCTGGCAGCTGTGGCACATGGTTTCGTAGATTATGAATTGAAATGTACTAAAGACGAGATTGGCATACGTTGGCCAAGCTACTACAGTAGCTCAGACTACTATTTGTGCAATCGCGTTGGAGGTAAAAAAATTACGATGACCTGTGGACAAGGCGAAGTTTTCACGTTTGTGCTGCAATCGTGTACATCACCGGGACGTTATATTCCCGCACCACCTATTAATATTTTACCAACAAGTTCACCAATACAGGTACACGAGCAAACAGCCCATGTTGTCTCTCTACCTAAGCCATTATACCCCACCGATGGTCAACCGCCAATTATTGCGTCCCCACAGCAACTACCCGATATAACTGCTGGAAATCCTAAGCCATTTAACTTTGAGCCACCACATGGTGATCATAGCGATGCAAGTGAAAACCCTAGCGAAACTAAAGAGGAGTCAGTGAAGCCGTCATTACCTAACAAGCTCAAACCGTCTAACCAACAATTGAACGGTGTCACAGTGCCACTACCACCCACACCAGAACCAACACCACCAGTCGTCAAGAAGCCCGTCAAACCGCAATCTCAACTGCCGGTAAAGAAACAGCCCGCCGCACCAATTAAGAAACCTACAACAACTGATAAGAAGAAGAAACCAGTTAAACCCTCTGAAAAACAAGCGCCAACGAAAACCGAAGCAAAATCGCAAAAGAAACCTCCAACGCCGAAGAAGCCGCCAACACAACCTAAAGAGTAGGATACGATATAAAATGTACCTATAACGGTTCAGTTTAATTTTCAATATAACTTTATGTACACAGTGAGTTAAATAAGCGGAATTTCAATACTACATAAATATTATATAATAAACCGCACTTTGGTTGAAACATTATTTTAAGAGTAGTGGATTCTTGATGTGCTTCTTCTAAATAAAACATTACCATTGCCGACACGGTTTTGTAGGGACAGTGTAAGTAAAGGACTGACACCTTAATATTTTCCGACTTACAGCTAGGAATGTAAGGTAGGTCTATTTAACATTTCTACAAAGTTCTTGCCTTTTGCATGCGACCTCCTTACTTTGGCACACACAAATGGAATAGGGTAGTAGAATGTGCTGTTTCCTTTCTCTCAAATATTTATCTATATATTCGATATTACGATTATTATTCTTTCCATCTGCAACACACCGCACAAAGACAACGAAAATATGTATATAGAGGCTGGAGTAAGTAACGGTCCAGATTTTCCCTCATAGTCTCGCAAGTTGTCTAATATCTTTGGCGGCCAAAAGTCAAACAGAGTCCTTTTTATTCGATTTTTGGGGACTTGAAAATACTCCCAATTAACTTAATTAAGTTTTAATCTTCTTTTGTGTGTTTTCATAGGCATTTGGTTTACATAGGGTGAAATAATCTGATGGATTTTAATAAGGCAGCTTCATATGGTGATTGTGGTTATTAGCCCATTTCAAACAAAAATATTTCTACTAGATTTTATTGGCGGAGACACCGTTTACGCGGCTATAGCTAAGTTCACAATAGCGCGACAGTCATTCTTCCTTTTCGCTGCTTGGTGACAATTGGAGAGCCCAATGGTTCCGCGCAACCTTTCTCTCGAAAACTCGTAATGTCAACTCATCCGATGTTGCTATCGTCCATGTCTCTGCACCATATAGCAGGAGGAGGATGAAGAGTGACTTGTAGAGTTTGGTCTTTGTTCGTCGAAAGAGAACTTTACTTCTCAACTGCCACTCAGTCCGAAGTGGTACCTCTTGGCAAGAGTTATTCTTATTCTTGCCCTCCTTCATTACCAGACCCATTGTCTTCGCTTCTGATTCTAGTCTGGAGAAAGCAGAACTAACGGCGCGTGTGTTGAGGCCAATGATATCAATATCATTGGCGTACGCCAGCAACTGTACACTGTTATAGAACATGATATCTTCTCTATTTAGTTCTGCAGCTCAAAATTATTTTCTCCAAGAGGCAGTTTTTTTTCGTGCTGTCGAAGGCGGCTTTAAAGTCAACTAAGAGATGGTGTGTGTCGATGTACCTTTCAAGGGTCTTTTCCAAGATTTGAAGCATGGTGAAAATCTGGTCGATAGTAGATTTTGCAGGTCTAAAGCCACACTTATAAGGTCTAATCAGTGTGTTGACGGCGATCTTCAGTCTTTCACACACTATGGTCAATATAAACTAATATGCGATGTTGAGTAGGCTTATCCCAACGTAGTTGGCGCAGATTGTGGGTTCTCGCTTTTTGTGGATTGGTCCGAACACATTTAAGCTCCAGTTTTATAAAGAACCTGATGCATACTCCTTATTAGTTCTTCACCGCCGTATTTGAATAGCTCGGTAATTCTGCGACAGAGACATTTGATATGATCATGCAGGCTTACCCAGATGTTGCTTTAGCAAGAAGTGGCGCTACAAAAGAGACAATCTTCCGAGCGGCACACGCCCTTGCCCAAAAAAAGGAAGAATGACCAAATTTAAAGCGAAAACGATTATCATTGTTTTTTTTTTTTACCTCAAAGCATCGTTCACCATGAATTTGTTCCTCCTGGACAAACGGTCAACACCAAGTTTTATATGGAAGTCCTCAAGAGACTTAAACGAAGGGCTCGACAAGACTTCGCAGCCGATTGAAAGTTGCACCAAGGCAATGCCTCACACCGCCTTTCTTGTGAATAGCTGAACCTAACGAAGGCCGGCAGCCACCCTTCAACCCTGATGTGCCCCTGGGACTTTTATGTTTTTGTTAGTCTGAAAAGGCAGATGAAGGGCAAGCATTTTGAGACGATATAGGAGATCCCACCAGCATGCACCTCGGATCTCAAGGCTATTCCAGAGAATGCCTTTCGGGACGCCTTCAATACTTGGAAATCGCTCTGGCAGCGCTGCATCGATGCAGAAGGAGACTATTTTGAAAGTTTTTAAAGAATTGTAACCATTGGTTGAATAAATTGTTATAAATGGACTCAGTCCTATTGCTTTCCAGACAAAACCTGAAATTGCTATTCGAACTTCTTCACGGGAAATGGAATGTCTACTCTATCGTCATCGATTGGGAAATTTACTAGATATCGAATACCTTGCCTGTACCAAAATGCTCCTACCATCGTATGTCAAAAAATGTTATTGAAAAACAAAAAGACAGAGAAGTCTAGGGTTAAACAAATAGTGTTTTTTATTTTGCGTTGCTAATTTATACCAGTATATCTTCCTCTAGTCTTCATTGATAATTATAGATAATTATAGATTTTTTGTGCAAAATTAAACCTCCTACTTGAGCTTTAAAGTGTTTAATGTGTGGTTCCGACATTTGCTCGAAAGGGATAACTATAATTTGTACTTTATCCTTGCAGTAATAGACAATTTGAAGCTTGGTATTGGATTATATAAGTGTTACATATTTTTTTCGGCATTGAAACCGAACTCTCCATTTTTCTTAATTACATATATATAGTTTTGTTTATGGAAAACTTTAAAACACGAATATATATAATATTAATCTTATCAATCTTCCTTCATTGCTTCCGGATATTTGTTGGAAGCTATTGCTTGCTAAAACACCATCTTACGAATTTTACGAATTTCTCATACATGTTAATATTACTTCAACATCCGATAAGCAGAATAATTACAAAATTCGTACTCATGCCAAGTGATAAGGAGCAACGCAAACATACATACATATGTATAGTACTTACCGTGAATTTGGGAAAGATTAGTTTTAATAAAGAAATGTTAAAATCAGTTTCTGCATGGGAAATGTCAATTGCCGCTCAATTACAAGCTTTGGTATTAACAAGACTTAACAAGCTGATTAAATTGCTTGTCTGTCGCATGATTGTTATACGGAATGAATTCGCATATAAACGGATTGAACGGGTAACAGAAGTCAGTGTTTCCAACAAAGCGTACAGCACAACTACGACAACATGAAGACAGGTGAGTTGAGTTGAGTTGAGAACATTTTCCGGATTCCATATTTTCTTTAAATTTTTATTTTATATTGAGTTACATACTTATATGATATTTCATATATTTGCACTTTTAATATATTTTCAGTAATTGGAGTTCTTTGCGTCATATTAGCGGCCCAAAGCGTAACTGCACAATGCCCTATGCTTAGGACCTTCACTACGGAGTTGAAGCCGGCTTGTGATATAAATGACATTTACATTAAATGGCCCAATTATGCGAATCAAAGCACTTACTATACCTGCTTTGGCGTGGGAAATCCAGTGTTGACACCATGTCCAAGTGGTGATTATTTCACTTACGTATACCAACAATGCAACCAATGCAGCGAGTATATTCCGCCTCCTATATGCGAAAATCTCAAAACACAAGATACTCCCAATTGCGTTCCAATTGGTTCTGGTAGTAATAATAGCCCAACACCAACCATAACAACTGGCTATCCAACACCGCACTATCCAAGTACCAACACAGCGGCAACTGCTAGTACTAATACTATGGCACCTACAGTGATAACCCCTCCGACTGTAAGCCCAACAAGTGCTCCGACCAACACTGCATACCCCGGACCACCATCTCCAGTAACTTCGGCGCCGAATGTACCCACACCTCCAACACAAGCAGCAACACCACCGGTGATTGATTTAACTCCACCAGGTGCATAAGGACCAAAAATGTTTACAATTCAATATAAAAAAAAAATTTATAAATCTTGTCCATTGCAAAGAATCCTGTTTATGTATTTCAGAAAGAAAGTAATAAATGCTGTACCAGTATAAAAAAATTGCTTAATTATCTACTATTTCATTATCAAAAGGTTTGCAACTAAAAAATCGTAACAACGATAATAGCTAATAAAAACAAGTCTTCCATAAAAGGACTCGATTTTGTCGACCAGTTTGGATGACAACTCTGGTAGTTCTTGGAGAAAAAAGGGTGCTTGTCAAATTTCAGATGGTTAAATGGACTCAACTCGTCAAACTGATCAGTTATACGAGTACAAGTATATAGTGTACTTTATAGGGTCTCCGGCATTTTCCACTGAGTGTTACAAACTTCGTGACAAATAAAAAAGCTTTGCTCACATAATTCTTTCAAAGTATCTTATATGTTGACCGCTGCGGTATAAAACCATTTGGAAGGATGGAAATGAAATTATATAACCAGTGATTCAAGAAAAGGTACTTTTTTATAAGCTCTTTTTTGATAGATCACGCGTGTGTCGTGTCAAGTTGTCATGTTATTTTAGTTCTCTCTCATTGTTCAATTACCACGGAACTTCGAATTGGAACACCCTTTACTTGTGATTTGATATGCATGCAATACTGAACACCTCAGAATGTCCAATTTAAGCAGGATGCCGAAGTATCCCAACCTATCGCTTGTACGATTCGATGGATCAACTGACAGACAAGTCGCTGAATATTAAGTTGTTTTGCTACTCAGAACGTTTTGATATACTATATAAGAAATTTCTCACAACCGGTTTGTGAACAAAAAAGTGTGAGTTTGTTATAATTTGTAGCGACGGCGTAAATAGATTAAGTTTTCCTAAAAATCTCTAAATATCCAGGAAAAAATTTATATGTCGCAATAACCAAAGTTGGTTGAGTCCAAAATAATTTTCGCTAATTAAGGATATTCCAACTTAGCATATCATATAGTATGAGCTCACCCAGTTATCCTCAGCTTCACGCTTGTCCATTAAATATTGATGACATTTTTGACCAATACCATCTGGACCCATAAATTTTTTAATCAACAGCTTCGTACATTCGAGTTTTGCCGGTGTCGTGAAGGCTTCTATGGCAAGTATGTAATTAGCCATGGTCTCCTCCAACGGTGGGACTGGTACTTTTGGTAGTGTCTATAATTGAAAAGATTCAACAAAAATTTCAGCTTTAGATATGTAAATACTATATGAATAAAAAAAATATATATATAAGGTAACAGAGATTAGCGAGATGAAGAATCTTTGTTAATGAGACTCCTATAACTTTATTTGACTTTGCAATAGAGCTTTCAACTGAGTTGTAGGACTCTGGGTATCTGGAATTAAAATGGATCTGAAATTTGTCTTTATTTGTCTATATCTACCCACATCCCTTATAAATTGATACAAGAAAGATAAAAAAGAGATAAAAGTGGGAAGATTGTTGGGTTGTCAAGAGGAATCGTTCATTTCTTCATTATTTGCTTTACTAATTATGTCAAACAGGACTACTGGTTCATTTCTTAAGCGCTGGGGTTGAAGGTACATATTTGGGTTTTGTGACATGTTGTAGCGTATTTGTTTAGGACCACATCAATAGCATAAGGCGTTTTGTATACATTAGGGGGATACATGTGCTACTTTGTGTACAAATCGGAATCAGTATTTACAAAACACACCAAATCCAACTTTGTTTCTGCGTCTGTTACCAAACCTATTTTTATTGAGTAATTTATTCGTTTTAGCAGTTGGTTTCAAAAATTTAAATACTCACATTCGATTTTCGAAATTGAATTTAATGAAATCATCATTTTTAATTACAGTATGTAGGCATTAAAGATAAAAAATGTTTTTTTTTCGTGTAATTACAATTGTGTACAATATTTTTCGGTGAAGTATACATACATATTTGACAGGTGTTATAAGATTTCAAATTTAGAACAGCTTTTGGGGGATTAAATATAGTAGTCTTTATACAGTTTAATATAATGGAGGAAAAATTTCATATCGGTAAATCGCAGACGTGCGGGTACAAAATTTATTACAATGTTCGTGTATTGAATAAAAAAATTTCACAAAACAAAACGATGTGTGCCAAGCTTTTAGAATCTTTCGAGTCGGTAACTTGTTATCTTTTCACGTTTGCTTCTGCTCCCAATGGCACTACCAGTGATCAAGTTCATCTTTGAGCTTCAAATGGCGTATGACGTTGTTTATCCAAAATGCCTTTGAATCTATCTATCAAGCAGTCAATAAGATTTTTCATTACTTTGGCTTTCAAAGTACGTCGGCCGCAAATTCTTGGTTTTTCTTCAACTTTCAGTGCTGCCTCCATTTTTTTCCTAGCTGATTAAATGTATCGAAAATGTTCCTCAGATTTTTGTCTTCAATTTCGGAATGTTACAAGAAGCATTCTGTCATATTTGATGTATTTTCCAGACCGATCGATTCTTTCTGAAGAATCACGCTGAGTGAAAAAGTTAGAGGAAAAATATAACATAGGAATCCCAATTATAAATTCAAATTAGCGCGCGTATCCGATGAATACTGTGCTTTTCTTGTTACTTCATATTTTTTCAGAGAAGTAAAATTTTTATAATATATAAGTCATTTAGCTACTCAGGGGGGAATTTCCCCCATTTCCCTAACCCGAATCACCATAATTCACAAAAAAACTTCGGATTAGAGAGACGTCTATTGCCAACTCAAGAATTCGACTTATAAAGAACTGCAACTTATGGAAGTTCAACTGTATATATATTAGGGTGATTAAAAAAATATATATATTTTTTTTCATTTGGTACTCCGAAAAATAGGTTGCTAGACACCTCTAAGGAAGCCTCTCCAAGAATGAGTTCTTAATTGTAACGGGAAGGTCCTCCTACTTACAATTTTTTATTTTTTTCCTATTATCATATAGAAAGATTTATTTCTCGCTTCCAACCACATACTTGAAAAAATATCTTGTTCGTTAAATTTTGTAGGAATTTGAATGCTCTACAAAAAAGGTCTTTACGATTTTTTCGTAAACCCAACCGTTTAAAAGATATTAACGGTGAAGTTTGATTATTTTTGTGAAAATTTTTTATTTCTTATGCATTTTTTAACTCAATGAAAAAAATCATTATGAATGATGAAGCTTGTTTGCGGCTATATGCCATAGATGTCCGATTCGAGCATTATGTTTCGAAGTTGTAGTGTTGCCTTAGACAACAATTCGTGCCGAATTTCGTGTAAAATAAAAAAAAATATTCCAAAATTACAGCTCGATGTCTCAAATTTTATAGTGTGCGGTCTTGTGGGTGTAAAAAACTTAGTCGCAATATTAAGAGCCCTGTTCAAGGTATACAAATTAAAGATAATATATGACAAAACTAATGAAATAAAATTATCACCAACAAACAAAAATATAACTGTTACACTTACGCAGGGAAAGCCAAATTCGTCGACCGATTCTGCAGTGGAAAGCCATTTTTTCGGTATTGAGAGAAGCGAATCGCGCCATCCTGAAAGCAGAAAGATAAGAAAACAGGCAATTTAATTATCATTTATAGATAATAATAATAAAGTATTAATATAGAGAAATAACGAAGTAATGTGGAGTAAGTTTTGAAAATTGGACTCGAAATCTATGTTTTCTTTATAATTGAACATCTTTTTAGGGTACTCGTACCATCGTATTTGTAAGGCCTGCAAAACTAGGTAGATACGTATTTGTATCCATTTTATACTCTGAACAAGGTTAAGTTTACCAAGATATTTGCAACAGCGTCGAAGACCCTATAAAGTATATATATATGAATGATCAGTATGTTAAGCTGAGTCGATTTAGCCATGTCCGTCTGTATATATACGAAGTAGTCAGTTTTTAAGATATCGTTTTAAAATGTTGCAAACGTCATTTTCTCTTCAAGAAGCTGCGCATTTGTCGGAACTGCCGATATCGGATTACTTTAACATATAGCTGCCGTACAAACTGAACAATCGGAATCAAGTTCTGGTATGGAAAACTTTCACATTTGACAATGTATCTTTACGAAGTTCGGTATAGGAGGAATAAAGTTCTTGTGTGGAAAACTTTCGCGTTTGACGTGTTATCTTCACAAAATTTGGATTACTGCTTAAGGTAATTATATAATCTCCAAAAAATTGTTCAGAACGGATTAGGATTTGGAGCTTATAGTTTCCATACAAACTGAACACATAATTACTAAGAGAAATGCACCTGTGAAGGGTATATTAGCTTCGGTGCAGCCGAAGTTAACGGGTTTTCATGTTTTTATTGAATTTGTCTTGCTTTAATAATATGTTTTAAAAATATATGTGCAGAGAAATATACGTTCTCTGATATGTGTTATAAAATGTTTGGTTCATGTCTAAATTATATCCTGTTGTCAGTGGCAAAGTTGTAAAATTTCAAAGCTGTGTGCCATAACTTCACAACAGGGTGTCTGACTTTAGACGTCATTTTGACATCTTACTAAAAATCTTAAATCAACACTGATTATGACAACCAGAACGGTGACTTTAGTGTTTGCTTCAAGTGAGTTTTTGAAGCGAATCTGACTACCATGTATGTGGGATTGAGGTAACCCCGACGTAGCTGGTAACCCTTAAATGCAATCCACATTTCAACCATTTTACTACAAAACTTCTTTTTATACGAAACAAAATCTACATCAACSATGACAAGAAAGCCGAAGAGTTTTGAAGTAGCCGCGAAGTTAGCAAGACGCTCGACGAAAAGACGTGAACTTTTTAATCTAAAGTGTAAATCATTTTTAAATAACTTTTACTCGTAATTAAAACTTTGTAAAATCTAAAACTATTCGTTTACTTATTGATTAAACGGATTATACAAGCGTGAGTAAAAGCCCTACATGTATGTAAGTAAGGGTGTGTCTGTAAATAAAAATATGTTAATGATATAATATTACAAAAAGCTTCTTTACAGCAGCTGCTTAAGTCGGTACAACTCAGTAGTGCGTTGCGATTTTTACAATAGATAAAGCTGTCGAACAAAGAATTTGTCTTAAATTTTATATTTGAAGACATGCCTCGTTTTGGACCACCTCTTCAACTGACGAAAATATAAAAAGAGAGCTCGGCATCTCTCGCGAGTTCATTCGTATAGTTTTTATGGACATTTTGGGTATGAAACGCGTCCTTGCTCGGCTGGCCCCGATAAAGCTGAATTCTTTTCAAAAAAGAGTACCGTAAAGAGGGCTCTTTGGACATGCTTGATCGCTACAACAACAACTGAATAGGTTGTGCTCGTCAGAAAATTTTGAGTTGTCGCCTCACGGGTTTCGCGACAATCATAACAACAAAGCGTCACAAGTATATAAAGAATACCGACTAACAAAAAAAAAAAAAAAAAATACATCACTGCTTCAAAATCACTTGAACCACTGCGGAATTTAAAACGCTTGAAAATTTATTCGAACATTTGCATAACTAACAATAAATATAATCGAATGACATAAATAATATGCCCGTGTACAGATATATTATAGTATTTATCTAAGATTATGATTATTTACCTATTGTAATAATTTTATTGCTGAAATTGTGTCTCTCCGTCGAGTGCTAGCCTGAACCCTGATCAGTTTTAAAGGGGTACCACAATGAAGTCAAATTAAATGCAATTTATTATCCTTTTTTACCTACCTAACCAAGGCAACGAGGGCATCGCTATCACAATAGAGTCACGTGGCGGCAATTTGAGCACACGCCATACTTCATGTTTCTCCCCACCCTGTACTTGTGACTAGTTCTTCTGCTATTGCTGCAGATATAGACCGGCAACTGCTAACCGCCAAATGGCAAGCGACTGCCGCAACGCACACTTGTATCCAATGGAAGCGTATTGGCATCGTTAGATCGCTCGTTATCTGATCTGTTTTACCACACCCCTTGGCACGGTTCCGATTCGTTCCGTGTTGGCCTCTGTTTTGATAGTAAATTAATGCTTGGAGTTACCGGCAGGCAGCACGTTGATGGGTGCGTGTAATGCGCCATAAGACAACATTGACAACAACATTACTAACAATATTAACAATCTAAACAACAAAACAATAAAGAAAGGCAAAAACAGGGACCGGAACTGCAACAACTCATAGTATACTACATAGAGAAGCGTAAGGTGGTATGTGGGGTAGTAAATTCAAATTAAGTAATTAATACTGTAGTGGTCAATGGAGTGGGAGAGGGGACGTGTATAGCAGCGAAGATGTAAATGGGATAAGTTGTGGCTGCTTTATTTCAGCCAATAAGACCTCTTCTTCTTCTTCTTGTTTATTGGAACAGACAACGCTTACGCGATTATAGCCGAGTTTACAACAGCGCACCAATTGTTCTTCCTTTTCGCTGTTTGGCGCCATTGGAGATTGCAAGTGTAGCCAGGTCCGTTTCCACCTTGTATTTACAACGGAGTCGAGGTCTTCCTCTTCCTTTGATGTCCCTGGTGGGTACTGTGTCGAATACTCTGAAGTGTTTTCATCGACTCAGCAGGACGGGGGTGATGAGTGACTTGTAGAATTTGGTCTTTGTTCGTGGAGAGAGGACTTTACTTCTAAATTGCCTTCTCAGTCCGAAGTAGCACCTCTTGGAAAGAGATATTCTGGTTTGGATTTTGAGGCAAACATTGTTGTTTGTGTTAATAGACGAAAATCTTCACGACTTAGAATTTATGACTGTCAATAGTGACGTGGGAGCCAAGTCGGGAATGCAATGACTGTTTGTTTGATGATAGAAAATATTTCGTCGAGTCCGCTTTTACAACCAGAGAATCGTCTCTTTTGCGACATCTACTCGACGTCATTTATATAGTTTTTATCCAACATTGCTCACAGAAGACGAAACTGCTTTTTTGCTGTATAATATTATTGCTTAAAAAGATTTTGCCAATTAGGATAGACTCTGCAAAATATTTTGGCCACTTAATAACTTTAATGCAAATTTCGTTAGAACCCCAAGAAAAGTGGTTTAGTAAGTAATTAGGTGTCAATAACTCAGGCAACTACACATATTAACATATACACACATTTTTGAGGCATGTAGACGGTCGTCTAGAAAATCTAATTATGCCAGGTATGTATCGCTATATCCCATACCCAATCACCCCATTAGGCGGCAAGATGCAGACGGCAGGCGGTTCGACACATGTAATAAAATGCTTGAATAAACCGACTAACATGATTAAGCGGCAAAAATCACGCTTGCTTGCTGGCTGTATCTGCTGACTCGCCTGTCAGTCACACATACACACGCACACCAACAACTTTGCGCCATTTAAATGACAAGCAACGGCTGCCGTCTGTCACACTAAACGATAAAAATGTAATCCTGACGAGAAATATTGCTTTGCTTTAACTGCTTCTAATTTAACAAGAGTCAAAGCCATGAATATACGCGCCCCGATTCGCCCCATTGTGTTCGTTGCAGCTACCACAGACCATAGCAAACAATAAAGAACCAGCGCAAATGAAGGAAAAGAATTTAAATGGCAAAACAAATCCCTGCCATGCAAGAAATACACAAAATGCGAGTCCAATAAAGGACCAGCAGCTTCAAATAGTAACAGCAACAGCGACGACATTGGCATCGCCGTGAACATCAGCAGCAGCAGCAGCAACAGTACCAGCGACGAGCAGTTGGTAAACGGCAACCGCAGTCACCAGCACGCTTCATCGGGGCTGAACCCCAAAATATGTCAAAGTGCTCGGCGGGTGGGCTGCTGCCACATGCCAAGTTCACGTTCACGCCACCACTTCGCCATGCAGCAACCCCATTGCTCTGGGATGCCAATTGCTCGACTGGTGCTGGTGCTGGTGCTGCCGCCTGTTCTTGTTGACTTGGTTGTGGGTGCTACTAGGGTCATGCCATTGTCAATGCGTACGGTACCATTCTTTTGTTGGCCGCATTTTTTGAAGTTGTCCAGCTTTCCGTTGCCGCTGCCGCTGAACGTGAGTTTCGGCTACACATTCATTCAATCTTTCCTTCATTGTTTCATTCATTCGGTTAACGTATTTTCTTACCTATACGAGGTTTTGTTCCGTCGTAGCTACACAGGGGCGCGGCAAATGCGGAGCGGGAGCGCACGGCACGCACACAAGAATTGAGCCGTAAATCCATTGCGGATTTGGCGTACAATAATGTTGAGCGCTGGCTTTGCCGTCCCATAAATGGCTGCGCCAACACTTGGTAAGCTTCTGCATTATTGTTGCGTATGCTGCTAAATCTCTTATTTGTGTTGTTGCTTTTGTTCCGCATTTCTTTTTGAATTGGCTTTGTACTACTATTTGGGGTTTCCTTGTTGGCAGCCGTCAATGAAATTCCAAACTGACGTACGAAGAATGTTCCTTTAACTTTGACTTGGTTGTGTTGCCGCTGCTGAAGCCGACGCAAATGACTTCGTGTAATTGCTTGCAGTATATTAGACATTTCGGCAAAAGATAATGAGATTTCTTAAGATTCTGTTTTGCCGAATAAATACAGAGACTGT